AAATTCTTTTGATGTTTGATTTGTACAGCGATCAAAAATTGAACGCTTTGCAAACGTTCATCACAAGAGAAATTTATTTGAACATTAGTCAATTTTTACGCAAATGGAGGGTGGATGGGTCTTGGATAGGGTGGGTCTCCATTCGCAGCACCTCCACGTGGTGAGACCTGGGCAATCGGTATTATTTGACATATCATTCCTAATTGTATCACTATAGTTATATCATACGTAATCGCTATGATACAATTATGAACGATATAGCAAGTAATACGAGCTAATTGGCTGCGATCTTAACGTTATGGATTTTCATCTGTTTAATTAGGGAGGAAAGATCGATAAGGGTTCTTCTTGTAAGTTATATTCTATCTACAGATTTTCCAAAATAATTTATCTTTGCCAAACGATGCCAAGCTAGGAATTATGTAGTATCTATTTGCAGCTCTTGTACCTGTAACAGCTGATACTGGCCAAGAACACAGTTCTACAGTTCCACAGTTGCAGTGGAAGAACCTTTTATCGTACATCATGATCGAGCAATTAGAGAAACCATAGGTACTCTATTCAAAGTTAGACGCGATGTACTGCAGCATCCCATAAGAAGTCATGGTGAAGATCATTATTGTGAAAATCCCCATAAAGGTACGTTAGGGGAAACGTAACCCAAACCTTTATACTAACTACGTAAATCCGTGCGAAAGCCACAACAATTCTTCAATGTTTTGGATTTTGCTCTTACATCTGCTCGGACAATCGATTTCTCTGAAATTCATCTGCCCTAAGAAATATAGGTACGTTAGGGGAAACGTAACCCAAACCTTTATACTAACTACGTAAATCCGTGCGAAAGCCATAACAATTCTTCAATGTTTTGGATTTTGCTCTTACAATCTGCTCGGACAATCGATTTCTCTGAAATTCATCTGCCCTAAGAAATGTTCTCTCAATTTGTATCCCATTTAGTCGAGTGATGGACCACGTATCTGTAGTATGTATGGAATGAAATCGAAGGAAAAATATTTCGACATAATTTGTGTCTTGTTTTCAGTCACACTGATGTTCCAACGATAATCCATTCGTTTATACTATAATGGATAGGTAGGGTCGGTAACATTGAAAATCTCATAAATGGTAATGGAGTTCTTGGTAGGGAATAAGTCTGTAGAGTATTTCGTTCGTGATTGAATATTATTCTTGATTTTTGCTCTTCTAAATCATGGAACGTACTACGAAATCGATACTTTAGCTCCCGTGGTACGAAATTTTCGTAAAACAGCAAATTAATTTTTCAAGTCAATTCTATTTCTCTACTTTTCCTGCACGCGTTAAGTCTGGTCGGTAATGTAGAAATTCATCTTAACACAGACAAGATTGCAGGAGTTTTATTTAACATATAATTATCATTTGCTTTCTTTTATAATTGCATTTCTATATTTAACAACAACGCTTATTTATCTAAACTAAATTATTTATTTCCTAAGAATTTAACAGAAATTTTTTGACGCGAATTATCAGCCATGGGAAAATGTTTAAGAAGATTCCTAAATTGCCCCATAAGGCGGGTGCAAGTTCTGTCCTACACAATTGCGCATCCTAAGTTCGGGACAAATTAAATCAATATTCAACAATCGTTATCTTTCTGCATTACACCTCGACGTGCCTAATTTATCGAACTTATCGAAACTTTCTATACACATTTTTAAGATGCGTTTCAAAGATCGATGAGTACATTTCAAAGTAGAATTGACTTCTCAAAAAAGAATTTACGAACCGAGATAACCCGTGAGAAATGCCGTTGAACGCGTAGGATATCGCGAAGTTAGGAAAATGATTGGCAAGATTGACAGAGAAATCCGAATGAAGAGAGGTGTTCTCGTAGGTGTTGTCGAAGCACAAAGCTCCGTAGGATAAGAGAAGGTCACCAATGATTTCCAGGCCCCGCCTACCACGCAGGGGTTGGAAGCAACCCCTAGTCAGGGTAGCCCGCGCAGGGCTGATTTCTGTACCACGTTGTGGGCGTAGACGTACAATAGACACAACCCCCGATGCATACACCCTGTCTTTTCACTGTTCACCGAGATCAAATCACTCGTCTCAGTCCTATCTTTGATCTTGACGGTGCAGCAACGTGACTTCGAAATTACGTGACAGTTCTTGTGGTCTGTTCGGTTTATCCGTATTCCTGCTCGTGTCGTTTGCGTGGAATCTGGTGACCAAGGTTTGCGAAACGAAGAAAAATTAGGAAAGGGGAGGGTGACGAGGATGAATCAGGATCAAGAAGTACCTGCCACTGCGACAGATTTGGCAAGACTGGTAAGACACGCGATACGTAATATTACTATTTCGCGAGTTCGTAATTCCATTCAACATTCCATTCCGTCAAAGAGTCGAGAAATATGCGCGATTAACTTTACCAGGAAGACGCTACTTGCTCTAGAGAATATACCGATTATAGGGATAATTTCAGTATGGAGTAATAATTTTCTTATCGATTTCAAGAACGACGATGATCAACCGATTTCTCCATGCGTGAAATTACATTCTATTATCGAAGCTGTATCTTAAGCGTCACGAGTTATTGCACGACACCGTATCGTCCGAGCCCATCGTTGCATCAATCACACCTGTTAATTTACCTGTCAGTCCTTAGTGACCGTAATTATATCCTCACGGAGTGCCTTAAACAAACGGGATGATTACGACGTGCACTTCTTCCTCGACTCTTGCTGACGTTAAAAAGTCCGCATAGAAGGAAAGCGTCCCATTTCCGGTTCCCCCTTATAGTCAGCGATACAATGGAGCCATAAGCGTGGACAGTGAGCGTAGTCGAAGTCGACGAACGCATAATGCATGGTAGTCGCGTGATGATCCTCGAGTGTCGAATTGCCGTGGCACGCGCCACCACGCTCCGATGGATCGTCCCACGGGTGCCACCCCTTTTGTGCCCCCTAAACACGTAATTGTCGCCACCATTCAACCCTCCTGGTCTCCCCGGTGCGGATACTGCCGTGCACGGGGCCACCACCGTGACTATGACACCGGCGAGCCGTGGGTGGTCGCCGGGCACCCTCTGCAACAACCAAGGGAGAGACGATGCGCCTCGGTCGCGGAAACACTTGATTTATGTTTGTTGATTCTAAAAATCACTCGATTCCCACACACCAGCCCCGTGGTCCTGGCCCGCCGGTTAATTGACTCCTCTGTACCAGCAGCATATGCTGCCACTCGAGTTTCCCATGATTACCGAGGCCCCTTTCGTCTATGGGGTGCGTTCCACGCCATGTGAATTTACCTGGGACCTTCCGTTATGCACGGGGTTTTTCTCAGTTCGATCAAGAGACGCGCGTTGCGGAGTCTAGGGGTGCTTTTCAGCTTCCTCTTGTTTTCTTCCGGGGAAAGAAACATTCGTGGAGCGCGTATCGGACGAGTAGTGGATAGACTCCGTCAATTAGCAGATAGACTCCGTCGGTGACACATTGTAATCGTGAGTCCCGCTGTCATCCGCGGCATTGTCCGTATTCTGGCCTTCGGAACCATCATTGTCTTCGCACCCTCGTCCGAGAAAGCGACGGAAAGAAAAAAGGGCGAGGTTTTCTCGTCAAAGTGGCAACGCCTTTTGCCTCTCCTAATTGATCAAATTGGATGACGGCTCTTTGTCGAAATTGGACGACCGTTAATGAAGAGAAATATCTGACTTTCCACGAGATACAGCCCTCGCTTCGTCGATCTAACAGTAGCGCGATCGATATCGAGTCTTTTGAGAACATTTATGATTTTTTACCCCGAATCGATGAACGAGATCAACGAGATCTCGGCAAATAGAAAAGGGGGAGTCTGTTTGTGAACGTGTTGTCTGCTCGATGACTTTATTATAAACCGAACCGAAGTGCGCAATTACGAGGGTGGTGTACGAAGGGAATTGGGGTGACGACCCCTCGCAGCATCATCAGGAACGATGGGGCGTTCCCCACGATTCATGGGTATCTCGTTTTCACTAGATACAAACGTACGAGTACGTTTGTTCGTACATGACACGCGTACCCCAAACGATCCACTTACAAGCGCGTCTTTTACACGGAAACGCGTTCCCGATGGGAAAGGTCAGGGGTATGGGGTAGAAAGGTGGTCCTATGGAAAAAGTTAAACGACACGCGACCATGTTTGCGCGTTTCCTTACGAGTCATTGCTTCGTGAATGCACTCGATTAACTTCTGATCGGATAGACTAGGACGAAGGGGTTTTCGAGAAACACAGTTCCGCGTTTCGGCGAGGAGAGATTAAAAATATCTGGAAATTTGCAAATTGAACGGGATCGATGCGACGCGCGTAAAACATTCCACATTCTTTATCCCTTATTTAACGCTGTCGTGCCGCTAAATACCGTTTGATATCGGGTTGGCGGGATTAAAGATTGAACGTAATATCGGGGAATGTAATTAAAATTTATATTAGAGGGCACAGCTTGTGGATTACGAGTGCTGAACCATCACGGCGACTAATTATAAATGACTATTAATTGCAATCAGAGGAAAATCCAAGAGACGAGGCAATGAACGTAAGACTAACCCGTGAAGCCACGGCGAAAAGGAAGTTGATTACGTCTCTATAAATGATAATATCCTGTCGAATTAAGTATGAAAGAAAAACGACGGCTAATTTAGCGATAAAACGATTACGTTTACCGCCAAAAGTATAAGAGGAAAAATATTTGAAAAAACTGATCGGGAAGACTCGACGAGATAGACCATGCGGATCGAGCGTGGCCAAACATTTTTCTCGCAGACAAACCGCGGCGATTTTTCTCGATTTTAAGGTGTAAGCGATCGGCAGAGACCGTAGTGAAACTTCATAAAGGAAAAGCAGACGGCGACACGACGTTATTGGAATTTCCAAAACCGGTAACCGGCTTTACCACTAGATTGCTCCGCAAGGAGGAAACCATCCAATCGTTCACCGGATGTCCTCCTTGCCTCCTCTCTCGCACGTTCCCTCTCTCTACTTCTCTCTCTTCCACTCTCCCTCTTCTTCTTTCTCATTGTACCAGCTACACTACTTTACTTAAAATCTCGTTCCTCGCTATTCCTTTCTACTCCAAATCGCCTCGTTCCCTCTTCCTTCTTCCTGCGATTTTACACCGCGGCTCCCTGTCGACTGTCTTCGTCTTTTTTCCCCGCCCGATGGGAATACGAGAAATCGAAAAGGACTTTTCGCTCCCGACGATATTTCAAATATCGATCTCGGAATCGATTCCGTACGTCGTTGAAATTAAAACTCGGAATGCCGGCTTTGAAGGAAACTTACCTCGAAGCCAAGCGTTGTAAGAACCGTTCCGAAATGAACGAATTCCGATCGAAACGCAATTCTAATACGGAATTCTCTGTCTTTCCAGCCGAACGAGGAATTCAGCAGACTGAACGAGCCGCTTCAAACAGTTGCCACGGGATACTGTCCCGCTAACTATTCCGTCACACAGACGAACAACGAGGAGAAGCTGCATCCAGGTAAGTGGAACTCGTAGGAAAGTCGCGAAAAACACGGAGGAGGGTAACACAGGGTGGCGAGTGTAAGGCGAAAGAAGTTGGTATCGCAGCGACCGCTCGATATTCCGATCAGCTTCGAGTTACTCGTGTCCCGATGAGACTTTTCGTGAACGAAATCGAGGAGAAAGTCTCGAGGGCGGTCCGTTCGGGTCACCATCCCCCGATTTTCAAGCTCTTTGATACGATGTTGCTCGGGAACACCGGCTCTCCGCCGTGACATGGAGTCTCGACTACGTCTTCGTGCAAACACGTACACGCGTAAACCGTACACGAAGAAAATCCACGCAGGCAAGAAAGCGTAGCACGGAGGCTCGAAGCACGTGCAGGATGTACGCGAACTGTGTACCACGGGGCGAGGGGGGAACCACCCCCCGAAGAGAGGCTGTCACCGGCAGGCAGTCGAGTCAATATCTTTATATAGTCGCATCAAGGATGATGTTATTTTCTACGGTGCAATTACCGAGTTCTGAGCTCGTACGAATGTCCCTAGAAAGGTCCTCTCGGGAGGTCCGGTGACTCCTAGAGTCCGTTTGTCAGACTCGACGAAATCGATTTATCGAGCAGTTGTAAAGTCCGTTTCGGGGTAGATTTCGCGTAATTGGGATTCGTAGCTCGAAAAAAGCGCTCGGTTGTACGATTGTATCGGTTTGTTCGGTAACCCAATAGACAGGACAAGTGGAATTTGGACCGTGGGTCAATTAGTCCCTCCGGTATCGGCTGTTTTACCTAGCCTTGACCCAGAAACGCGACACCACGACGAGAAGCCTCAGGACGAATTCAATAAGCAACGTGTTATCGCCGCAAAGAGCCCCATGGGGTAGTCGAAGCCGGTCGTACCCCCACAGGATTCGTAACCACCCTAGCTGCGTCTGGGCACAGTGATTGACACTTTATATCTAACATTGGCATGCCGTGGTGTGAACCACCAGTCAGGATAGTCCGCCTCCACCTAACTCAATCACAGCCTATAATGCTGCAATTTCTCTATCGTAATCACGTTACGCCCTACTACGCCTCCCCATCCACTTTTCGGCGACGATTCGTCGCGAAGAAATATTGAAACGTCGACGCGAAAGAACCGACCTTCCAGCTCTCTTCTCTCGCTCTCGATACCCCAACGGTCCTTCCGCAAATGGAAGCAGAACTGCGACAGAGACATCGCAGATGGTCGTCGAAACTTTTCTTCGTTCTCCTGAAATTCCACCTACGAAACGTGTCTACGAAAATAGCCGCAAAGACGTGCCAGAGAAACGGAAGATTCCTTTCGTTCCTCGCGATATTACCTTTCGTCTAATCACGGCGAGTTCCCGATGCCGAATTTTCGTCTGTGGATGACATATCTCGCGAGGCAACGCGAAACGTTATTAGCCATCGAGCTATGAAGCTGGGTAAATCCGATTCGTCTGACGGGATTGTAACCGTGAACAAAACAAAGTTACTGACAAGTGGCTACCCGTAGCGAATCCTAGAGGCCCATTAAACGGACCCCACGTAGCATACATTTCTGTCGCATTCTTATGTACATGCCTGCATCGAAAGGGGTTGTTTTTGCCACTGATTCATCCCCCAACGTTCGGTCTTTGTTCCATCTTACGGCTCCATCCCTCGTCTAGTCGAATCTTATTACAGCTCAGACATCGTGTCTCATCGTGACATAATTAGCCAGAAATCGTCGTACGCGTCAAAAGAATGCGCGCTCCTCATCTCCGCCTAAGGCGTTCGACGTCTTCACCCTCTTCGGGCGATAAGATAAACATGTATTTCTTCGGAAAATTATCATTCCGAAGGTTTTTACTTGCTCCACGCGATAATGGATATTCATTGAAGTTGACGAAGTAATACGATAGTATATACGCGGTATTAATTTCACGCTGGGATAATTATCTTCGAGTAACCATTAATCATTACGCCGCCAACTAATTCCTCGCATCACTCGTAAATTAAAGGCACGATATAAGAAAGCTAACATTTAGATAGCGTAATATCGTAACTATTATCGATATTTCGTACGCGCTCTGCTTTCCTTATCGGTCAGACTACGCGAATCTGGGTTCACTGGTAAATCACTGTAAATAAGGGATTAAAGGCACGTGGTGCCTCGTATTTATGTGAAATTTCTCGCACTTGTTATCTATTCGATGGAAGCATCGATTCGCAAAGTAGAAGCTTTTCATTTTCTTAAACGATGACATTTTTTATACTATTTTCTTAATTTTTGAAAAACAGTCGTCTAAAAGTCGATGTGAATTTGGTTTTAGAGAATGAAATATACCCTACACAGGAATACAGGCAAGAGCCGTGGCTTCAAGATGGTAAGTGAAATTTGTTATAAATAATTCCTATGGTATTCGCGAGATAAAGAAAATCGGATACGCAGAGAGACGAGCTATTTTTCACGCGTTAAGAGGGTGACTATCATCTGCCTGGATAGCTCAGTCGGTAGAGCATCAGACTTTTAATCTGAGGGTCCAGGGTTCGAGTCCCTGTTCGGGCGGAATATTTTTTTACCTTTTTTCTCGCGTTTTATCATCTTATCGATGCTGTACAAACTCGGGAAAACACGGAGAAATCCGTTCGTTTGTTCGCTCGCGACGAAATCGTCGATACGTTATCGCAGTTTCCATTAACTTGATTGAATTATAGAAGCTAAGCCGTGTATAACGCTTTAAAATACCCTGCTTCCGTTCTACTTCCCTTTCAGTGGAACAGCGCAGAGTTTCTGGAAACTAGAAGCGCACGGTAAAATTCTTGTAGACATTGTTCCTTGCAAAACGAACGGGAAACGATCCATTTATCGAGCCGCGAACCGTTCGTAAATCTTCCTCGAAGATGATTAGACACAGTGGCCTGACTATCCGGAACATTAATTTTGATTACTTTGACACACTGTAATGTAATGCACGGTGAATGCAATGTAATAATCACGATAACGAGGGGACCTTCTGCCACGGCCAGTGCCACCACTGACTACCCTATTACTTAACATTTCACCCTAACTTTCCTCGCGGTAATTTTACAATAATTTCACAATCATTTTTCAATCATTTTTTCAACGACCTTTCCAAACGAAACGCAAATCTTTCCTCGTTTTCCGAATATTTCGTTCCGAGTATGTTCCTTTTCCAGATACTAATATATTTTCTGTTTCGTTCGAATTGGATTGCAGGCAGCAGCTGCGAAACGGAGGACAGCGAGCAGTACGTTCCCGAGTTCCATCGGATGTCAAGTTAGTGTTGCACGAATGCTCTTTTTAAATATTCCCAATCAAGCCGACGCAATTCGCCGCGATTTCCCGTGGATTCACCTAATTACTATACTCCGCGTCGCAAGAAGCGAGGCGCGTAACTGGAAGGAAACCAATCTCGATAGACGCGGAAGCTGCACGGAAATGTATCGCATATGCAATTTAAGTGTTAATTTGAAAAAACGTAGATACGATCTGCGCGAATAGGAAGCTACGAATTTGCTCGCTGGCAACTCGTGTTTATGGCAAATCACGTACGACCTTTCGCATCTCGCGTTGGAATATCGCGTATTAACGCTGCAACTACCGGATGAAACGGGACTCGAATTAGAAGCGTAATTATACTCGTTTGTTTTAATTTCATTTATCGCACCTCTGATTATTGTCGTCCGCTTACGTTCATTATCGAGTATATCACCGTTATACTGCACCGTTAAAGATCGGTAGTTCTGGTACTGAAGAACGCATCCGGGTTTCGACTAGGAAAATTTGAAAGGAAGACACGATCGTCCTCGGTTTCTTGACAATGAAATTTTTGTCGGGGGTCGAAGGGCAATATCGAGGGCGATATTAAAAAATCCAATAATTCGCCCGGGGCCAGTGTTTTCGAAGAGGCAAGAAAGAATCAACAGAAGGCTCCCGTCGATTATCGATATCGCATTACACGAGGAAGCACTTTATATTAAGTCCAAAGACTTTCTTTTTTCTCCCCTTTCTCGAACCTCTGGCTGATTAGCGTCTCTCCCTCTCTCTCTCTCTCCTTCTCTCGACCATGGTTTATCAAAGCCACTTTAATATCGTTCGAAAAGAGGCAGTTCCTCCTCGTGGGATCGATTCGTTAACGCTCTCGCGAGTCTCCTAGGAAGATTTCTCGGATGTGTCGGAAAATTTGCCGAATTTCTCGATACTCGCCGAGCAGACGAACAAACGGCCAGAGGGAACGATAATGTCTATATGCCTGCACGCGTACACGTGTTCGCTTATCTCTCGTGCGTAAACCGGTAAAGAAAATTTCGCGTTGCGCGTGATTAACGATCCCGATATCGCGTTTGGTACACTTGGCAACGGAACGTCGATTTTCGCCGTAATTTGCATTATCGAGCTGGTTGTTACACGCTCGTAACTCGCCTCCTCGCGATACCACGAATTTGCTCTTCACCTGTTCATTTCATCCGATGCTCGACACGCGCGAGAACAAGCCCGTCCGTTTGCACGCGTAATACGTATGCAAACAATCAGAGAGCATCCCGCTGGAGGTAAACAGGCCGATCGCCGGGCTCAGATTCGCCAATAAACTTTTATTCCAGCCATTGTTTACCGGATGTTGTTACGTTCGATATATTAGTGTAACGTCGAAAAAAGGACTGCTCGCGTCCGTGCTTTTTTCCCTTCTTTTCCATCGATACGCGGTGTTTCGCGCGTTGTTATCGCGAAAGGGGAAACTCGGTTGTATCGATACGAACGAACGCGACGAATAAGCGACTCGCGATCGAGGTGTCCTCGGCGACTTCGTCTTCGCGGGCGAAATATCCGAACTTTTTCGTAATTTCGCTAATTTCTCGGGCAATTTTTTCGCGATTCGTAAGTCGAACGCGGAGCCATACGCGATTCTTTCGAACCGACGAGTCGGCGGTTCTCCCGTAGCGAGTAAACTTCCGATGTTTGCAAATACAATGATTGCCGGAGGCTTCTGACTTATGCTTCCCACGGCCAGAGTCTGTTTGATTTATCGAGGGCGCACCCTCGGCCGCGCAAAATCGTCGACGGCCCCATTAGGAAGCGTACCTACCCCCGAGTGCCGCTGCAACGATGCGCCTTCGCTTCCGCCACGACACGCGCCCGCCATGTCCCCGCCCCGCTCATCTTCGTCCTAAGAAACGATCCTCGCTCGATCGTTAAAATCATTGACCGTTCGTCTGCACATCCGCCATGGGAGCCCTCGTACCATATCCTAGGATCATTTTTCCATTCAAATCACCGTCCACCCTTCCACGAGTTTCGCTACGAGTTTCGTCACGAATTTTGTCACGAATTTTATCACTTTTCCATGTCTCGATGCTTCGCAGACGCCAGTGTGAAACAGGAATCCGCAAACTGCAGAAGGATCAGCGATAATAATTATTCGCCGTACCAGACGTCGGTGAACCATCCCCATTCGCAGAGCAGCACCTTCCTGGACCTCGATCCGGAGAATCGGAGCGGCTGCTTCGGGTAAGCGAGAGTATTTTATTTGGTTCGGATGATTGCAAGAAGATGGTAAATTTCTCAATCGTTTTTGCGTTTCGCGTGCCGCGTAGAAGCGGCAAGATGAGCTCGCGGACAACGGAAAGCACGAAGAACGTGGCGGTGAAGGAGGAACCGGCTGACAGAGGGTACGGCGAGTCGATTTCCGTCACGACCATCCCCACATCGACGGCCCAGGACACTCGAAACAGTAAGAACTCTATGATTTGTTCGACCCAGAGCTGACAATGGTTGTGCACGAATGGTAGATAATGTTCTTAACGTACTCGTGTCAGGACAACTATCGTGGCAACCGAGATTTCCGAGCCGATGATACCCTCTTCTCGATCGTACACCGTGACAAATCTCTTGACAATGGATCCACGTGGCGCGTTGCTACCCCATAGATCCCATAAATAACTGGAGCACAGGGGAAGTACTCGGTGTTCTGTCCATTAATCGAGCTTCGGCTCGAGTCTCTTCCGGTGTCTGTTTTTAGAGCTCTCTCCGGTGTCCCAAAATCTATCGTAGCTTTATGCTGTTCTTAACATTCGTTGACAACATCCCTCGATCGATCGATGGATCGCAAAGAATCGATTCGTCTCGAGGGAACGATCTCGATGTCGGACGGATCGATTCCAACGGGAGGCGGTAAATAAATTTTCAGCGACGTTTTAATACGAAATTCCTTGATAATCCCGGGCAAAGTTCGTCGCTGGTGCAGTGGACTCGCTCACGCGTGACTAAGTACACGTAAGTGAATAATTGAAGAATGCTTTCAACTCGAAAGCTACGGAGAAGCGCTTCGTAGAATCCGGCGAAAGCTGCTAAACGAAGGAAAGAGCATAGAATTCTGTCCCCGGGGAGATTGCAAGTCGCGAAAGCTTTCTCTCGCGCGGTGGATACGGGCGAAATTGCAGAAATTCGAGGAAAGGTGAACGCGTGGACGATCGCGTTGATAAAATTCTCGATACTTTCGTGGCAAGGTAACACGCCGGATCTCGTCGGGCCCATTACTTAATAGCGTTCGAGGTCGCGCGATCTATCCGTAAAAGGTAGAGTCGACGAAGGGTTTGCAAGCTCATGCTTCGTAATCAGACCGATTAGTCTTCCTTTATTCACGCACGTACACCAAACGAATCCTTTAGGAACTCGGCTGCTATATTCGCTGCCCGACACCGTGCGCGTATACCCATTTACTTCCAAGTCACCCGGGAATTATGCTTCTACTTCTCTTCGCGTAATTCTCCCTCCCATTAAGCCGTTTCAATTATTTACACGCAGTTTAGATTAATAATAGGATCATACCTATCGCTATTGATACACCCCGGCGGGCACAGTTTGGCCGGGTAAACCCGCCGGCAAAGGGTCTCGCCTGTTTTTCTTGATCAAATTTCATCCGCGAAAGAAATATCGGTTCGGTAAGTTTGCCGAAATGACCGATGATCGCTTATGCACACCGTCAAGGGAACGCGTTAAACGTTTCTGTCTCCCTAGTCCACTAAATCGACCAGTCGTTGACCAATGTAGCGGGTGGAATAGTAATAACCTGTTAATGGGTGAGGCAGATTGGTCACCATTTCGCTAATTAATACCGGCACCGAGGATCACGAGGATTATAGTCGGACCAAGTTTGATTCGCGGGTTCGCCGTAGAACTAGTCCCGCATTCGACGACTTAAACGAAGCTGACGCGAACGACGTGGACGCGTAAATAGTCGTTGTTGCGAATCGATTCGATCTCGTGCAAAAACATTCCTCCGTGAATGGACAGAAAGAGAAGAAGGGCATTTCGGCGCGTCAGGTGGATGGAAAATGGACCTTGCATTATTAACCAGCCTCTACTCCGGAATTCGGGGATCAGGGAGACAGAGATAGCAGGATAAAGACAGGGGTGGAGGAGAAAATGAGAAGAGGTGGGGATGAGCGAGAGGTAGAGAGAAAGAGAGGAATGGAGTGAAAGGGAGAGAAAGGGAATGAAAGAGAGAGAAAGAGAGAAAAGAACCTACTCGTCTGAGAGTGGACGAGTGGAGGCCGTCCTCTTTTCCGTGCAACCCTTCTGCGCACCGCCCCTGACCAGTCCCGGCTTCAACCCTTTTCCTGCTTGGTACATCGCCACCGGTTTCATCAGCTCGCGATTAATTTTAATCTAAAACTACCCGCAAAGCCTCTGGCCTCGCTTGCACGTTGAGGTCGACCCCTTTCGCCCCTCTTCGCAGAGAGAGTGCCAGATTGGCCCGCAGCTTTCAACCCTCCTCCCCACGATTCCTGTCTGTCTCGTCTACGCGAGATCGGGATCCGACCGACGTTTGCCAGCTAGGAAGCTAAAGCTAACTTGCCGACACGATTAACTTTGCCGACCCTTCCTCCTCTTAATTTCGCCTCGATGACTGAGATTCCCCGTTAATACCAGCGGTACACGGTGTAGAGCTTGATTTTTAACCGCAAGTCCTATCGAATATTCTATCCGGCTACCTTTTGCATTCGTATACCCAGCCTTGTTCCTTTTTCCGCGGGGCGAAGCCAGATTTTTAATCGACGAGCAAAAAGATGAACGGTGCATCACGATAGGCAGCGTGGCGTTCCGGCTCCGTATCGGCAAGAGGGTTCTCAATTTTTCAATATTCCCCGTACACGACTTGGAACGTAACCGGATTACGGTTCGAGAATAGCTTTTTCGGCTCGAGGGACCACGGCATCGGTGGGATGCCGGCGGTGGTGGGTGCTCCCTGTGAGGAGAGCACCCGATTAATATACATATCGCGCGAGCTCTACGCGGTATTTCAGGCGGTGCCGCTATCCGCGAGCTCCGCCATGCCGGCAACCCCGTGGGCTTTGAATATCAACCAATTTCCTGCCGATATTTGTGTGACGAGCACTTCACCGGCAACCGCGCGTGAGTGCAATCGCTAATACGTTGCCTGCCTTTCCTTCTTTTTCACCGATCCCAGGATCCGGCCTTCCTTCGCTCGTCCACCTAGTCCTTGTCCGTTCCTTCCTCTTTTGCCTCGCGCGCTCGTTACTCGTCCTCCGATCCCCTCCGATTAATTGCGCGAGATTAACTTATTTTCCCAACCGAAGGCTTTAACATGGCCGATGTAAATTCTCCCAGCCAACAGCATGGTTTATCAGCAACAGCAGCAGTACGCCAGCGGAACTAGGAATGCCAGAGGATCTCCATCGCCTAGCCGGCCAGCCAGCGCTTCCTCCGCGGCTTCTCAGTGGCAATCAACGGTCTCGGCTACGGGCGAAGCTTTCTTTCCGCGTCAGGAGAACTGGAGCTCGGAAGTGTATGGTAAAAGAAGCGTGACTCCCACGTGGACCGAGCTAGGAGTTCAATTAGACGGCAGGAATCCGTCGTGGGAGAGACAGAGCAATTGTTACCAGAAGAAAGGCTCTCCTAGCTCGTGGAACGCGGACTATGCCGGCAAGAGGCCATCGTCGACGACAGGAGTGTCGCCTTGGAGCGAGATGTCCGTTGGCTATCAGCAGCAGCGTCGAGGTTCTCTGCAATTATGGCAGTTCTTGGTCACCCTGCTGGACGATCCTGCGAATGCTCCCTGCATCGCGTGGACCGGCCGTGGGATGGAATTCAAGCTGATCGAACCGGAAGAGGTATTCCATCGGACTCCAGCACCGACGAATACTCGTTCCAAGCAACTGGTAAAAAGTAACATTACGAATTTTCCTCAGGTGGCTCGCAGGTGGGGAGTGCAGAAGAATCGTCCGGCTATGAATTACGATAAATTAAGCAGATCGTTGAGGTACTATTACGAGAAAGGGATAATGCAAAAGGTGGCAGGAGAGAGATACGTGTACAAGTTCGTGTGCGACCCGGAAGCGCTTTTCAATATGGCGTACGGCTCGGCGGGCTCAGCCAGTCTTCCCAGCGAAGTTCAAAACGGAGTTCGAAGTCAGTCGATATCCGGAAAGATATCATCCTCGAACGATGTCTCCGATTTAGCGAAACATCCTACCACGGGCTACGGCGATGCAGTCCTTGCCATGTACTCGAACACCGCTGCAGGTCAGTGCTCGAGTTTATCAGGATACTTCTAAGAATTGCGAATATTTCGTTGCAATCGATGTCTGAAATTAATTTCACGAACGACAGTGTATGGACCGTCCAGTTTACATCACCTGCACCAGTATCTCGGTGGCAACGAGGGCTTCAAGACACCATCGAACAGATACCATCCTCATTACTCGCACGAGTACAACGGCAGTCATCATCATCCGCCGTCTAGTTACGCAGAGACCTTCCTGAACTACGGTCGCTTGTCGCACGACGCTGCGACCGAATCCAGAGGCCAGGAGCTACCGAGAATCCCATACCCGCAGGAAACCGAGGGTATCAGCAGAGAGCGAGAACCTTCATCGATCTTGTACGATGGTGTGCAGAGAACGCAATTACCGGCCGCTCCTACGCTATCCCAGCCGACCTTGCTAGATGCTACCACCACCAGCTCGAAGATCGAGCAAACTTCGTACGCCTGCTTGGGTGTAGGCAGTTGCGTCTGCTGAATCCCTCTCGACTTTATCGGAAGACGGAAAGTCGTTCGCGTCGAGGAATCTCTAGTCGTAGATCATCCCGTACTCCGTACACGTTGCACGGTTGTATAGATGGCTCGAGTATAACGTGTACAGGTGTTAAGTGGGACGCGCGATTCGATCGTCAACGAGCTACGCGTTCGTCCATGATCGCACGATCGTCCTAATATAGAATCGGTAGCAATATCGGAGAGAAACGAAGGAATTTCTTGCCTCGAAAGCAGATTGACGACGACTCCGTCGTACGATCATCGACGAATCTAGGAATTCGGATTTGGGTCGCGCGTACCGCGAGTCTTGTAAATAGCGAAATGAAGGCGCACGATCGGTGAGATCGAATGAGAACCCTGTAGCCCGGGAGATTCAATCGCTTGTGATCGTTACATGCGCGTGTCCGAGTAGTTCGACAGGATACTGTAACTTCTGTAAATATCAAATAAATCTATCGAAAGAACCTCGCAAGAGAGTGCGTTGCTCAGTAACGTCATTACCGAGTTTGTCTTCCTGTGTCATTGAGCGAAATACGCATGAATTATCGCCGCGTTTTTTATCGAATCGAAACACGAGGAATGCGCGGATTAACATAAGCGATTATGCGAGCTTGACCTAGACACAGACGACTCGTATGCGATGGTGCGCGACAGCTTTCCATGCGATCCTTCGTTTCGTGAGCGTATTAGCAGTGAGTGACGTAAGCCCCAGACCACGGACTGAGGTCGGCTGCGTATTTCGGGCTGTGACACATAGTAGATATGTTTATGTCGACCCCTCTCTTTTCCTACGACTTCCAACTCGTCCATCCTTTTTCCACCACTGGCAAATGTATCGTTGATGAACATCACCGACCGAAGCCGGGTCCCGGTAAATCTGCCTGCCACTGTCAGTCGCACAGTCAGAACCGAGGAATCGAAAAGTGTGTTCGGTTCCTTAAACTCGCTGCGTAGTGTCGTGTATTTGTCAAGCGAAAACAGTGTCAGTGATCCGATTAGGCTTATCTTATAAAAGAAGAAACGGAACTTGCTCGCAAAGCTTTGGTAAGTGTTTATCGAGATTTCGTTTCTGGTATTTCTCTGCTTCCTATCGAGCGGTTTCGAGCTGGATCTCGCGTGATCTATTTTTCGAAGAGTCGTCGTTTCGATCTGGGTATTTAGATCAAAGAAACCGCGAGATTCGAAAAGCAGCTGCCAAATGTACGCTTCAGCCGATCGTCTGGGCTGTATTGATCCTTCCATAATCCAGCAACTACGTCAACGATAAAATTGACATGCTGGCGTCATATGTTCGTTCGATGTTTCTGAATACCTCTTCCGAGTCAATTTTAACCGATCACGCGTGCGAAGCGTTGCAGACGATTTCGAACGAACATAGAACACGCGATTATGTATTCACGCAGGTCGATGAACTACTAATTCGTTTTCAGCCATGGGTAGGAGCAAATCCACGGAACCGGAAGAATCCACGATGGGCTTCAAGGACAAGCAGAAGGCCTTGGACACGTTGAAGGCACTGGACGGTCGAGATATCAGTTATCAATACCACGTGATTGCCAGCTTCGTGACCCGCTCGAAAAGAACGCTGCAGATCACCAGGGACGAGGAAAAGTTGGCGAACCTTCGCGAGGCTTTGAAAGTGTTCGAGGATTGGCTGGCTGATTACAAGGAAAACAATCGTAGCAAAGAGAACCTCGCTTACGTGCCAATCGAGACTATAAAAGGCTACAGGACTCTTGCCAAAAAATATGATGTTCTGGAAGAGGAATTTTACAAGTAATTACACAGCGGAACCCCTACCTTTTCCCGCGATTATATCACTCGTGCAATTAACATGATCGTGTTTTGCATTTTTCAGCGCGTACAAAAAGGAGAAGGGAGACTATAAAGGTCTGCGGTCTGTTAAGACTCCGAGCAGAGAGACCACCTGGGACATCGAGAGGAATCGAAGGTTGAAGCAGATCATCGATAAGATCAAACAGGAGCACATACAATGGTACGAGACCGACGTGGGTGACTTCCGGGGACTGCCGACTAAGGAACACGTTCAGTGCATCATGCTGGGTTACAGTCCAGAGCCGACCAAGGTGAAAAAACTCATAACCCAAGTGGAAGAGAAGTTTGGATCCGAGAACAACGAGGATATGGACACGAGCGAAGATGCGAGGGAGAGGGCCACGAAGAGAAGGCACAGCAGCTCGTCTAGCGATGACAGCGAGGATGACGAACCGGAGAAAAAGATTACGAAACTGTCGGTGGAGGAAGAGAAAACTGAGAAAGAGGAGAGTGGACTCAGTTTCAAAGATAAGGAGAAAGCTTTGCAGAGTATCAAGTCACTGGATGGCAGGGACGTAAGTTATCAGTACCACGCGATCGCTGGCCTGGTGAAAAGGGCCGAGCGGGTGATATCGTGCACAAAGGACGAGCAAAAGATCAAGAACATGAAAGAGGCCGTCGAAGTGTTCGAGAATTGGATCACGGATTATAACGTGAATGGCCGGGCAAAGGAGAACTTCAATTATTTGTCCATCGACTTGGTACGAGCCTTCAAGCCATTGGCCGACAGATATAAGATAGAAGATAATGGATTTCTTAAGTAATTATACGTTTCACTAGCATCACTGTCGCTATTAGGATAGATCGATCAAATTATTTATCGTAATTTTTCATCTCCGTCTGTTTTGCAGAGCGTACGAAGAAGTCGATGGAGATTATAAAAAGCTGAGAAACGTTCAAGTTCCAGACTCGAGTAATACGTGGGACATAGAGAGAAATAAGAATCTTCGAAACCTGGTAGACCGTATCAAGGAGAAGAATATTCAGTGGTACGAAACGGATGACGAACTTCGCGATTTACCTACAGAGGAACATACCCGATGTATTATGTGGGCTTTCAGCCACGATGTCGGCAAGCTGAAAAAACTTTTACCTACGCTGGCCGAGAAGTTGAAATCTTAAATATCATCGTACAAATGCGTTTAACCTACATACTTAAGTTATCACTATATGTACAAAAAGATTTAGTTTTATTTTTCTTCAATGCTACTGGTAATAAAGATAATTTATTTTCATTATTCCTTAGGTTTTACGTAAGTTCTTAAAATTATTTATTACGTGGGATATATTCGTAGGTACACGTGGCGACATCTGGCAGCGAAGTTGAGACATTCGTTCGCCGGCTCGTAATCTGGATGCCATCTTTGTTTTCATCGTACTCGAAAATTTCAAGATGGCGCGAGCTGTCAAAGTTTTTTGACCGCGGAACGCTCAATCGATAGTTTTTATTGCCGCTGTAGAGTTCGCGAGGGTGGGTGAGTCTCGAGTCCGGTTTTGAGGTTAGGGTTAGTGACTCGGTGACACTGGAAACGGCGGTTACGGGTTCTCGTGCGTGTACAACGACACCGGAAAGACGAAACTGTCTCACCCTTTTCGACGATTCTGTAACAAGGCAAACGCCCATGCGACTTGGCATTCTGAACGTTTTGTAACATTTCGGAATAATTCGTGCGGCGAAAATACATTCGCGAGAGGATGACTCGTGCTCGCGTAGTCGATCTGTTTATACTCTATGTATCAGTAAAGTCTTCTGGAACAAGGGAATCTACATACTTTAGGCGGTCTAAAAATAGCCATTGCTTCCACCGAGGTTCGTAGACCTTTCCGTTCCTCGAACGTGATCGCGAAGGCTGTAGACGGTTCGAGTGTACGTCTCTCGAGATCGATTAATGGGAGATCGCGATGCAACACGTGACTTAACGATCCACCGTGTTGGTACGTTGTACGTGTTTGACGAGCGACTCGGAAACATCGTGCTGTCCAAATACGAAAGATTTGCGACTGTTTCGAATGCGAGAATCGTCTCCTGGAATATGTACCGGGGCAACGAAGCAAGTTGCAGATACGAGTAGCGGTATAGAAGAAGACGACGGACAGCTTTTGAAGACGACGAGCAAGAGACATTCGGAAAGATGGACACGAAGCAGCGGGATAGTGCATCTATAGTTCGTTACAATGGATAAATGAGAGGTAAAGTGAAGATGTCACAAACTGCGGATGCTGAAAGTGAAGCAGGCTCCATCTGCGACGAGGAACGCATCAGGAAGCTGTTCCAAGCATGCGACGGCGACGGAGATGGTTTTATCGACAGGTGAGCCTGAATAATTTGCATGTAAATTATACCTTGTTCCGTAAATCACGCGGGACACGCGAAAAATTGACGTCAGTATCGAAAGCATTTTCAAAGCCGTGACGTAATTCGAGAATGCTTCGATTAACGTATTCGAGACGTTTTACCGAACAATGCGATTACCGGGTAGGAATCCTCCGCCCAGTGCAAAACACAATCCGTTGGCAAAGCGAAATAGAAACGTTCGTCGGTGACGAACGCGGCACGCACGCGTTTTAATTATTAGCTCGATTAATTAGCCAGTCTGAATACACCGTGGACGCGATACTACGAATTAAACCGGGAACGCGTACTGTTTTCTTCACTACCGCCGAATGAATAAACTTGCAAGATAATGCAACCGCGGGATGTGCACGTGATGCAGCCACACGGTTTTTCATTAAACGCATAACCGTTTCCCCGATATTCAACCGTTTCCCTATTTCCCTCTGTTCCTCCCGTTCCTCTCGTTCCTCCCGTTCCTCCGTTCCCTCATTCTTCGAAGCCGTGCCGTTGCTCCCGCTGCGACCTGCACTATTCAGCGCTTTTTAGCGAAAATTAGCCGTCAATTCCTCGCTCGGATCCCGACTGCCTACCACCACCGCCGTATCCCGCATTCTTTTCCATGCAAAGTGAGCAAGATTTGTGCGTCAAAGCGCAAATCCGTCCGTGTTCGCGACAAAAGCCAAACCGATGTCGGGTTAGAAACTGTATTCCAGAAGTTTCGCTTCACTCCGAATACAATTGCGTACTACCATGTTCTTCGTTATGAACTGGCATAGGTTGCACGAGTTAGTTCGTGTTTAGGAAATTCATAGTTTCACGAACGTTGATAGTTTAAAGGTGTGCCACGCGAAAGTTTGAAACGAACAGTCGTATCTTCCGCGAAGCAATAATTTTGTAGCCAGTTTTGAGCTAAAATGCACGATGAAATTAGTTTGTTTAGTTTGTTATCTTGACGCAAATGGTGGGTGGCGTGACGAACGCGCGTGTATAGGTTCTTACAAAAATATCCACGTTCCAAGACTATTGACATTTCATGCGCTGACCAGGAGCTCTCTCTCTCTCTCTCTCTCTCTCCCCTCTTATTCGTATCTCTCTCCTTCCCGTTTCCGTTGCATTTTTTTCCATAAATTTAGCAGTTACGTGTTTCTTGGCGTTCTTAGCAGTACGTAAAGTGTTGGAAATCAATAAGACGCGAAGATTTTCGCGAGAGGTGTGTAAAATATAGGAAAGAAAACCGCAGACACCGCGCAATCGAGCAAAGGACAAGATTGACGCCATGATGCATTCTGGCGGAAAATGTCAAGATTCAAAATTTTCTTTGTCACGATTAAAGGACTCGCTACAGGTACGAATTCCTACATCCATCTTCGTCGATGAAGTCGGTAATTACTTTTTGCTTTTCGAACGGGTTGCAACATCTCGTTAACATCATTGCTTTGTAGCGGCGTGCATTGGCGTCGAGACAGATTTATCATGCTCGATCGGTCGATTGTATCGCGTCGCAGAAATGATTCTCGATATGCCCTCGCAACAAGTTCCTCGATTGTTTTTAAGCACTTAAGAATCGTTATATCGATTTCCATGCTATCGGCATTACTATCGGAATTAATTCGTTTAAGCAGCCATAACTCATCGCGTAATTCTCGATCGTTATCGCGATTGCGCTTCGCGCGCCATTACGACGCGAGAAAAATTCGCGAAATTATCGATGAACGTAGAGCGAAAGGAATAGGAGTGGGAATAGCAAACATAAAAAGCATTTATTTTCATATCTTTGCCAGGTCAGCTGTTGTCGAGGGGCAGAAGTGACTTTAGCCAATTAAACTCTCCGTCGCGAAGATGATATTCGAGCGTTCTCAGGCAATTTCCGTTGTGTGCACAGACAGAGCGAGCGTTCTATGCGTCGATAATAAAGGCTTTCTGTAATTCGAGGGGCTCGGGACCGAGAGCGAACGGTGGAACGGGATGGAAATAGAAGAAGAGAAGGAAAAAGGAGAAAGAAGGACGGAGGAAGGAGGAAACTTTTTTTTGGAACGTTTTCGCGTTTCTCTGTGTGTAAAACTCGCCATTCCCGTGCTCTACCCTCGGAGAGATCGCTCTCTCGGTCTCGAAGAGCTTCTCACCCTTCGACTTGTACTACTTCTAAATGCTCCCCCGAAACGTTTTCCCCCTTGTCTTACCTCGCGATTACCGCTTCCCCCTTTCCGCTTTGATATATCGTAGAAATAGGCAATAGGAATACGAATTCCCTGAGACTCGGTCCTCTCGTTTTCTGCCTCCTCCACTTACCTTCTCCGTCTTTTTTCCTTTTTTCCCTTTCGGTGAATTAGTTTCACGGATCGATAGCTCGCGAGATTATTCTGTGCGTCGAGCTGCAGAAAATTCCACGCCGCGAGATTGCAAGTGAAAATGAGCGGACGTCGGGGAGGTAGAATCAATATCCTCGACGACTTTCGATTCTTCGTGGCACCGTGGTAGAACACGCATAATCTACGAATAGGTTCTATGCGCGGCGCTCTATCGCCGCGGGATTGTAAGGAAAAATACGAGAAAAATGTAAACGGACAAAGGAAAAACGTAAATAAACGAGTAGGATGAATGAAAAGTGGATCGAGAACGGGATCGTAGGAAACGCGATACTCGAATACCGATCGACTAGATCGTAAAGGACGCGAGAGTCCGAAATTTCTGGCATTTTCGATGATATCGATGATATTCGCGAGAAAGGTGGACCGAAGCTACACCTGCAGGCAGCAACGCTTGATCGAGATTCTTACGCCTGGCTGAGCAGAGGAAGGAAAGCTCGGGGTGGGCAGGAGTGTAGTCGATTTATCGAATCGTCAAAGGTTTTTCCCTAAATTTTCACGAGTCTCTCGAGTGCGCTTTGCGGCTCAATTTTCTCCAGTTCTCACTCATCCCGCGCAAGCACACGTGACTTAATTAAGCCCGCGGACTCTTCAGACCGGAGGGTGCTCGAGATTAAATTCGTTTCTATGGCAGAACACGCTAAACATTCTTTTCTTCAGGAGCATACCTTGCACCGTCCAAAGGATGTTTCTCTAATGCGCCGCTGCAGTGCTAAACTCTACTTAAAGAGGAGAAAAGTTGAAGAGGGAGGCGACTGCCACCATTAGTCGAAGTTCAGGAGAGCAATATTTCCTTTCCTTTTCGAGCTTCATTATTGTCCGTTCTCCACAGCCTCGTTAACCCTAGCCTGGCGAGATTCGTGTGTCCCGGGCACCCGGTGCTACGTCTCGTTGCTTTCGTAAGCTTCCGTATCTCCGAGCACCGGACTCCCCTTTCGAAACTCCTGCACTACTTGGTGTGCATCCAGCCGGATGCAAGCTCGTGAGATTGCGAACGAAACCGAACGCTCAAGTGCATACTTGCGCGACTTCCCTGTGCGTCTTGCCCCATCTCTCTTTCACCTTGCACTTCCTCTTCTAACCCTTTCTCTTACCCTTTATCCTCGCGCCACTCTCCTTTCCTTTTACTCCTTTTACTCCTCCCACCACGCATTTTCCACTTCTCCCGCTCTTCATTTTCCTCTTTTCTTTTTACGTCTGTCTTCTATATTAACTCGTCTCTCGTTTTCCTGTCCCGTAACTTTCCTCCGTTTTCGCTACGCTTTCCTCCCCCTTTGTTCCTCGATACGCCTATCCTTCCTCCGACATAATTGTCTTTTACAGTTGTCATTACTTTATGTTCTTAGGGGTCGTCCTCTCGGGCCAATAAATCCACCCTTTCACCCCTTGCCTTTATTTTTGCTTCGCCCTTACCTCGCGATCGTCTCCTCTCGTCCACCCTCTTCCACCCTCGCAGCTCAAACCTCCACCCCACCTTCAACCTTCACCCCTTTCTACCTTACA